ATTCAAACAATAGTTTGCTTTCGCTTTGAGAGTGATTGTTCCTTAGTTTTGTCTAAATCTCCTTATCTCGTTCCATTCTCTCATACTTGACTTACCACACTTACCCTTACCAACTCTACGGATTCAAAGGAATGAGTTACTAACAATAAGAGGGAAATGGGTTAGTATCCATGGAAATCCTACATAGTTTCGAATTTCAGGGTCTCTGTGCGCAAATTCTCTCTGGTTGTTGTATACGAAAACAATACGTCGTGGGACGATCGGATAGATCTTATGCTAAAGTGGAGAGCGATCGTTGACAGGTTCTTTTAGCTTTCGTTCATGTTTCTGGTTTTGTGTCTGTTGTTTTTGAAAATTACTGCCATGATTTCTTTTTGCTTCCCATAGCCGCAAAAATACTGAGCATTGAGTTGAAAAGGTCCTGGCATACTTGATCTACAAGGGTCCTAGGACGATAGACCTCAAGTTTCTATTGAAAATGGGAACAACGCACAGAGCGATGGCCCTTTGTCTCTTTGGGATGTGCCACGCAGTTGACTCCCATTCAGAATCGCAGCTGCATTTTGCAATACGAGTGCGAATCGAATAGTTTTCATGAGATCCTCCATTTTTTATTTGTTCTCCAAGCATTTCTCATATATGTAAATGAGGATTTTCATGCAAATACACATGCATTTGTTCCTCCTAGCAAGTATAACAATGCATAAAAGCAATACATGAGCACTGTTTGAAATGCCAGAGCTGCTAGTTATCATCTCCTCGAAAATGCTTGCAGCACGAGCGAACGATGGCTTCGAAGAAAAAAACTGTGGAATATGGCAGGGACTGTGTTCCACCGTCAGGTCTCGGATCGATTCCTACCCAGCTGAAATGGCCGCTTCGCCCCTCTGGCACCGATTAATGAGCACCAAACTCATCTGAGCGGATAGGAGCACGGTCACCCACTTCCCACTAACCCTCCCTCCAATCCTGCTATCTGCCACAAGCCAAGCACTCACACTGAAAGGCAAAATCGCATTCAGGCTACG